TTAAACGGATACTCACGACGGTGACGGTGGGCCGTGCGAAAGAGACGCCGGAATGTATACCGGAGACGCCGGAATCCGCGGCAGAGATTCCGCACTGTACGGTGACAATACCTGACTACACGGCGTGTGTGTCGGGCTGTATGGCGTAAAACTTACGCTGTAAGTACGCGTACGACTGTTCGTTTCATCGCAGCTGTCGGAGTCTTCACTCTCCGAATCGCTTGACATAAGTATCGGTTCGTAAGACGAACTTTCCGTATTCACGTCTGATGGCGACGGCGCATTATTGCTGTACCTGTGCGAACAATTGTATTATATTTCATTCGATCCTCATAGTACTGTCGATGATACTTACGGAGACGACGCTGGGCATGGTGACACAGTCGGGCTGTAGATAGGTAACAACGCCGGACTGTACGTAGGTGATACCGTCGAGCTGTAAGTGGCTGACGACACCGGGCCGTAAGACGCACGAGTCGGTTTTCGCGATGGAAATACTGCACATTTCAGAAAATTCATTAGAGGAGAGTTGCAGTATGTATTTTTAAGTACATAGTCGGTTTTGCAACCGGATTTCGATAATACACTTTCATTACCTAACCGTAAGTGTACTCTCTACATTGAATTTAAAAAGGATTCAGTTACTTAATGTACACGGCTATCCGTGTAATTATTTGGCACTGAGAACCCCGGTAAATTTAATATCGGCTGATGCTCCAAGTTTTTAATTTGCAATTATTAATTGAAAAACTATAAAAGTGCGTTTTCAAGTGTGTATACTTATAAAAATAATATTTAGTAACATTGCGATCGTTGTGGACAACAATAGTGAACAAAAATAATATCGCAATGAAGAAATACAAAAACTTACGCGGTGGTTCTTCGTCGTATTTCGGAGAACATGTTTTGAATTTTTTTGAAAACTCATAATCTGACGATGACGGGGATCGCCGTCTTTTCTCTCCAAATAAATAATTGAAGTCCACTACCTTCAATCGTGGACGAACGGCGTTATCGTTTTCAATGGTGGTTGAGAATTTTTCTACGATTGCCATTGTGTTAAATTTTACATAAATATCGAAAATAATTATGAAAAACACTAAAAAGGACTATACGCGAAAAAACAAAAGATAATTTGTGAAGTATTTTACTTGTTTATTTGGTACGTGGAAAAAATTGGCCTTAACGACCGAATGTTCTCATAAAAATAAACAGCAGATGTTTTTTTCGGCCAGGCCGAAATAATACAATTTTTTGGCGGCGTTAATACAAATATTTTCCCGATTTTTGTTATTATATAATTGGATACGTATACTGAAGAATATATTCAATTTTACTAATTTATTTGAGCGTAGCGATGAATGTTATTAGTTTTACTATGATATTGTGGTTTTTCTTTTCGAATCTCGATTTCCTGCCTACTTAAAATAATATTTTTAAGTACTTTAGAGTCCGGTTTTTCGTATTCGACGAAAATATCTACACCCGTTGCTGCGGCGACGATGACGCCGAACCCTCTGTTAGGTGAAAAAAATGGTTACATTATAGTTTCATAGAAAAAAAAAAAAAAACTAGTTACAAATGAAAATGTAAGCTATAACAACAGGAGGCCAGAGATGCTGGCTGGATCATTATTATTATTATTATTATTATTGCATATAATAAATAATAACTAAAAACAATAAATTATTGTTAAACCAATAGATCCCTCTCTCCGCTCCAAATCTCAATAATTATGAAGCAGATAATATAATCAAACAAAGAAACCCGGGAACTATTCGGGAAACCAAATGCAACAATTATTATGTATAACGGTCGAAATCGCACACAATAAGAGACCGACAGGAAGATCGAAACTAAAATGGATTGGTGTTATCAATTTAATAACAGTGAGAAAGAAATTACGATGGCCATAAAATGTATAACCTATCTCTATATTTAATAGAGATAAACAGTTTTTGGCGAAGCAGCTCAAGACGGAAATACATGGAGTCGGTGTTTGTTTTGCGGTAACGGGCCTTCGGCGATTGGCCTTAATTTCGAAATTCGAGTCAGAAGGATACCTCGAGGGATCGGTTCCGAGTCTCATATGGATAAAATCGCGATATCTCCGTTACGTGATCAAAGGGACGTTCGGAAACGTGCAAGTGAACTCAGTGTGTAGAGAGGGTATAATATTTATTTATGGAGATCGATATTCGCTGAGCCGATTGCGTTTTACGCCAGTTTACGAATAGTTCCTGGGTTTCTTTGTTTGATTATATTATCTGCTTCATAATTATTGAGATTTGGAGCGGAGAGAGGGATCGTCACCGTACAGTGCGGAATCTCTGCCGCGGATTCCGGCGTCTCCGGTATACATTCCGGCGTCTCTTTCGCACGGCCCACCGTCACCGTCGTGAGTATCTGTTTAATACAGTATCCTAACTAAATCACAATGTTCGCAATTTAAAAAAAAAAAAAAAAAAACTGAAAAAAAAACCCCGTATAGACAAATCGCGACTTTGGCAAATGTTTAATCATTTATTCGCACAGGTACAGCTATAATGCGTCGTCAGTATCGGTCATGAATACGGGAAGTTCGTTTTACGAACCGATACTCGTGTCTAACGATTCGGAGAGTGAAGACTCAGACAGCGGCGACAAAACGAGCAGTCGTACGCGTACTTACAGCGTAAGTTTTACGCCATACAGCCCGACACACACGCCGTGTAGTCAGGTATCGTCACTGTACTGTCCGGAATCGCTGCTGCGAATCACTACGACAATTCGCAACTTCGGCAAATGTATAATCATTTATATTCTCGAACATTTAGTCAAATATTTTGTATTATAAGTATCGAATAAAATATAATATGGTTATTCGCACAAGTACAGCTATAATGCGTCGTCACCATCTGACGTGAATACAGGAAGTACGTTTTACGAACCGATACTCGTGTCAAGCGTTTGGGAGAGTGAAGACTCAGAAAGCTGCGACCGAATGAACAGTTTTATGTGTACTTACAACATGATTTCTACGCCATACAGCCCGACACACACGCCGTGTAGTCAGGTAACGTCACCGTTCTGTCCGGAATCTCTGCTGCGAATTCCGGCGTCTCCGGTATACATTCCGGCGTCTCTTTCTCACTGCCTGCTGTCACCGTCGTGAGTATCCGTTTGATGTAGTATCGTACCTATTAATTTTTGATATTTAAAAAAAAAAAAAAACCGGTGAAGACAAATCGCGACTTCGTCAAATGTATTGA